AAACTAATAGATGATGATTGAGGGTATATATAAGTTCAGTTAGTCAATTTAAAAAGTGTTTTTAAGGTTGTCAATAATTTGGAGATGAAAGTAATAATTCGCGCCAAATTTAGAGGTGTTTTCAATACTTCACATTATATATAATAGTTTTTTTACCTTATTTAATGTGGGGATCGTCATAACTCATAATGATTAAGAGGTGGAATTGTTTTTAGATAATTGTAGCATTCTTTCTTATGTGACTACTTATTTTATTACCTCATTTAGCATTATACAAAATATATTATTGTCCGTTTGTAAAAAAATATTAAATTTGTTTTTTGGTGTCTCCTTCAAATTTCAAGATTATTTCAATATATTATATCAACTTAATATGAAATTTAACACAACACTATTTCGATAACATTATATCGGCTTCTCATATTCTTGAGCCATCTTTTATTATTCTAACTTTGTATTATATATTTTTTCGTTGAACATTTCATTGTATACTGAGTATGCTATTGTTATTCAATTTATATAGATACGTTCAAAGTCGTATAACACCTAGTGAAATTATTATGTTCTAACGAATGACGAGCTCATTATTATTTCTAAATCTAATTCATTTGTAACAATCAATATAAAGACTTTAAAATTTACAACAATTTATAGGTCTTATATCTATGATCCTCTGCCTCACAGGCAAATCGGATAATAAATGACATTGCATCAGATATCGCCGTCTTTTCTACTCTTTTCTATGTCTCAGTATGACGTTTATTCAGAGAGAAAGAAAATACATTGCTTAGGGATGCACCGTCGAGAAGTCATTCAAAATGTAATTTCTTGGGTTGTGAAAAGGTATACGATGACGATCTGGAACTCAAAAATCACTACAACACGACACATTGTCAAATTTAAACCATTGAGAAAAACAGGTGTAACCAATGTGGCAACTTCTTCCGGACTCAAGGTGAAAAAGCGGATCGTGAAAATGTTTCTCACAAATAAAGATTGGATTTATGGTAAGCTTTGCAATTTCCTTTGAATTTAATTTTCTTGATTACTTTTTTCCTATTAGGTTAGTAAAATTTCCGAATAAACGGTTTATGGGTGTTTTGTTGTTAATCTTTGTCTAGTTATAGGTTAGTTAAATTTGTGAAAAACGTTGCAGTTTTTGGGTCAATTTTGTTTTGTTCATTTTTTTTTTGTAGAGATGAATTATTGTTTTGTGCATTTTTTTTAGAAATGAATTTTGATTGAAATTATTAGGAAGAACTTCTGCTAGCCTTGAATTGAATTGATTACAAATGTACAAGATCGTCCCTATTTATAGTTGTTTATGGGTGGTTTTAAAAACTATTATAAAAACTCTTCTATATACATCTACTAGAACATTCTAATAAATTTTATCGTCTAGCAACATTCTAGAATATTTTGATATTTCTTCAAGATAATTTTCTAAGTTTATACACTAGATTATATTCTAGAAAAATCTATGATATTCTAAAAGTTGATTTTATTTTTTTCACGCTCCTATTAAAGTATTTTTTTTTTTAAAAAAAATGAAGCCTTAGAAATTAAAGTAACTAGGTTGAAGATATCAACAATATTATCCTGAATTCATACTTTCATCGAGATTTTATTTTTTTTGGATGAAATATCAAAAAAAAATTAATTCTTGCATGAAATATCATTTTTTTTGCAAGCTTGATAGCACTTTGATTGTCTCCAAAAATCATAGTTTTAAATAGATGCAATTTTTTAGCAAGTCTTTGGAGTCGTAGACATAAGACATACATGTTTCACCATATAGAAAAATATACTGTGATGTAGTTTTTTTATCATCCATATATATCACCACCAAAATTGGTTTCAGCATAACTGATTAATACCAAATCATTTTTTCGAACTCAACATTCTCTTTGCAACTTTCTAGAGCTACTCTCTTGGTGATTACATAAATTTACTGACATATATATCCAATAGAGAAACAATTAAGTTAAAATAGTTTGTGCAATAATTATCTCTTTTATCTTTTGGTTATAATGATTATCTATTAAAAAAATAGAGTTTAACTTGAGTGATTTTATAAAAGAAAATCCATAAGTTGAGTGACTTTCTCAAATAATTTCATGTATTCTAGGTATTTTGATGATCCTCACAAATGCAGAGACTCGGCTTCTCAAATAATTTCATGTATTCTAGGTATTTTGATGATCCTCACAAATGCAGGGACTCGGTCCCTGACAGAGTATTCTCGTCTAGGTTCAAAATGATGTACAGCTGTAAAGTTGTGATACCAGATATGCGAGTGAGATAGAAGAGTAGTGAGTGAGAGTGAGAGTGAGAGTGAGATTTGTCTATATATCCTAGATATATGTGAATCACTTGAATATAATGTATCTACAATAAATTACACCTAATTTTGACAAAGATACATGTACCTAAATGTATTTGGGCGTGCCAAATATAAGTATTTGAAGACCAAAATATAGTAAAATTTATAATATTGCAAATTAACTTGCATTTAAGTAATTAGCTCCTAAAATGATGAGATTTATATAAGTTACCTTTCTAATTCCACTTTATTTGTACTATAATTCGTCGCCTAAAGCTCTAACATGTGTTATCATTTCCCCACATGGAATATTAGCATTGGTATTTTTTTAGCCTAAAGTATTTAGCAAATTTTAAGCCCCTAATTGTATCCTTAAAATTTATATTGTGACTAGATATTCCTAAAATATTTTTTTTTCAATAAAATTAAATTGCTAATGATTATATAAAAATAAAATATCAACGTTTAAGCTTAAATATTTGTTGTATTTTTTTTACAGAATGAACCTATCCTTATGATTCTTTATATATATATATATATATATATATATAGAGGCGTGGGCGGCTGATGGAGAAGATATTCCGTCTGGGGAAGAAGAAAACGCGTAAGGGGTATGGGGAAGAAGGAAAATTCAATGTTGATCTAGAGTATAGGGGACGATACGTGTCTTTTGGGAGAAGGAAGAGTCTTAATCATTTTGGGTCGTCTGATCGTTTGATCGGAGGATCAAAATTAATCAAGTGTTGAATATATATATATATATAGATAGATAGATAGATAGAAAATACTATGTGGATATCATAGAGAACTATGAAGCTATTTTTGCTTTTATTTGTATGTTTCATCTTAGTTTAGTGATAAGTGATCAAATACATTTTTCAATAATCTGCTTATTAGTCGAGGAAGAAGCAAGATCAAGTAGTGGATCATATAAAATAAATAATAACCAATTTATTTTTGTCTCTATCTAAATATTTTCCACCTCTATGTTATTTCTTAGAAGCAATATTGTAATATTGTGGGACTCTACAAGATGTGTTCAATTCGAGTTGGGACTCTACTAATTGTGTTCAACTCAAATTATGATTCTTGGAGGCTACTCAATCTTAAACCCTAGTTTATGCCTATATAAAGGGTACTAAATTCCCTTAAAAGGCGATCTCAAAAATTCCACAAAGAGATCAAGACCTCGATATATTCCACAAAAGACATGGAATATTCTTAGAGAGGTCAAATCTAAATCATACTAATTCGAGAAATACGTCACTAACGGCCCTCGAATCATGGATAAATCTTAGGAGAGGAGAATCAAGGGAGGAACAGAATTGTACCCGCTATCTTGATGAATAAAATTATGTTTCTTCAGATTTTATTTGTGTGATTTATTTATTTTCCATATGTTTAAAATTTGTTGCAAACATATATATTCAACATATTCAACAATATAATCTGATGTAGATTTTTTATCATCCATATCGGCAGCAAAATTGGTTTCAGCATAACCGATTAATACCAAATCATGATTCTTTCTATATCTGATGTTGAGTTTTCAGAAATCTCTTTGCAACTTCCAAGAGCTGCTCTCTTGGTGATTACATAAATTTACTGACATATCAAATAGAGAAAGCAATGTGTGGCCTTGTAATTAGGGTTGTCAAAGGGGCGGGCCGGGTTGAAATTAGAGATATTAAAATAGGTTGAAAGAGAAATCGAGTAGGGTCATGACCAAGCCAAGTTTAATTACTTTAGGCTCAAATGGGTTGGGCTAAAAATCGGGTTGGGTCATGACCCGTCAAGTTTGACCTGCATAATCTCAATAATTTTAACATAATATTGTTATTAAACTTTATAACCACAATTTGAATTTCAACTCAAGAAAATTAACAAAAATAAATTACAAATGGAAATATAAAATAGATACTAAGTCATAACTTCAGTATAAGAAATATATTTCATTAATGCAAATAGAGAGTTGTATAACAGGTTGAAATTAGAGATTAAAGTGAGCTCAATTGAAGATTCCTTAAAAATGGGTCAAGAGTACTTGAATGCGTTGAGATTAAACCCAATTCAAATTATTTTGAGCCCAATCCATCAAATTCTAGACGGATTGGATGGATTACCGATATTTAGGCTTATTTTGACAACCCTACTTATGATAGTCAAATACCGAAGAACTCCAACTAAAGCTCAAAAAGGCTTGGGATCTACAAAGAGTGAGTCTTCTTTACATTTTAACCTTGTGCTAGTCTCAAGAGTAGTGCACTTTTTCTGGTTTTTTCTAAGTCTTCATCATATTTTTGAGAAAAGTCTCGAGCAACCAATCTTGCTTTATATCTGTCTATGGCAACATTAGGAGGAGTTATTGTTTGTTTAATTTTTATTTTTAAAATAATAATGTATTTAAACCTTTATAGAATATATCTTTTTAAAAAAAATTAATATGATGGTATATTTGATAGTCGAGGGTCAAACGGATTTTTTTATTATATATTTATTAAATATTTTATATTTTTTAATTATTATAACTTATAATAGTAATATTTTTTACGGTCAAAATTAAAAAAAATTATTACGTAAAACGAAAAATATCATGTAAATTGACACATAAGAAGTACTAGTGTGCAACTATAATATAAGGACAATTTGGGAAAAGAAAACTAACAGGTTGGTTATACTCTCCCGCCAAAAGCAGTTAATTTTTTCTTCTTCGTCTTCCTCACTCACTCTCTGTATCCGCCATGGATTTCTCTGTAATCAAGATTCTGTTCATCTTCATTTGTTTCGTACACCCAGAAGCTAAAGCTCTCATTTACCCTCAAGATCTCATAACCCATGATTCTGTTTTCGATTTTCCGTCATTAACCCCGTCTTTTCCGACCTCTTCCTCTCCAATTTTTCGTCCTCCTACTTCTCCTCTTGTTCCGGCTCTATTCATTATTGGTGATTCTTCTGTTGATTGTGGTACGAATAACTTTCTTGGGACTTTTGCTCGTGCTGATAGGCTTCCTTATGGTCGTGATTTTGATACTCATCAACCTACTGGTCGATTCTGCAATGGAAGAATCCCAGTCGATTATCTAGGTAATTTTATCAATGGGGTGTTTGGGATTTGTGGAAAATTTAACTATTGGGTAGTGAAATTTGGGGAAAAGTTTCGATTTTTTTGGCTTGAGTTTTGAGATTTGAGACTTGAGACTGGAGACTGCTACGTGTTTGATTAATTGTCTGAGAGAGAAAAAAGATTGAACTTTCAATGAAATAGTTTATGGATCTTTTTCTGTTAATATCTTGTCTTGTTTATCCTAATCAAGCTCAAAAAATTGTTCTCATTTTGTGGAATTCAGTGATGAATTCTTGATTATTATATTTTTGGATCGAGTTTTGATATTTGAGACTGCTACGTGTTTGATTAATTGTCTTTGAGAATTAACTATTCGACTTTCAATGAATCGGCGTATGGATCTTTTGCTGTAAATTTCTTGTCTTTTATCCTATTCAAGCTCAAAATGTTTGTACTGGTTTTGTGGAATTCAGTGATGAATTCTTAGGATCTTTTGGTTAAAGATAGCTAATTTTCTATTCATTGTTTCTTGTGCATTTTGATTGTATCAGCGTTGCGTCTTGGGTTACCATTTGTGCCTAGCTATCTAGGACAGGCTGGTTCTATTGAAGAGATGGTTCTTGGGGTTAATTATGCTTCTGCTGGTGCTGGTATTATATTCTCAAGTGGCTCGGAATTGGTAATAGTTTTATCATATACGAACTCTATGATTATTAGTTTTGTAGTAGTTAAGCTAGATTAGTGTTTATGCAGGGTCAGCATATCTCACTTGCACAGCAAATAGAACAAGTTACTGACACTGTTCAGCAGTTTATAATGAATATTGGTGAGGATGCAACAACTGATCTGATATCTAGTTCCTTGTTTTACATTTCGATCGGGAGCAATGACTACATTCACTACTATCTCCTGAATGCCTCAAATGTTCAAACTGTTTACCTGCCATGGAGTTTCAACCAGTTTTTAGCACAGACTATAAAACAGGAGATTAAGGTGCAGTGTTGTTCTATACGAAATCTTAATACTGTCTTCTTTATGCAATTGCCTTCATCGACATTTTGTTTTCGTATGTAATGAATTTTGCAGCTTTATTCAAACCATTTAGCCTCCTTTCTCCTCTTGGATGGCACTTAAAACATCAACAAAATCACTCTATGCAACTAGTTAGCACCTATTTTGCTAACTCTATCATGCATTATATGTTTCAATTTCCCCTTAGGCTCTGCATTGTTTCCACGATTATTAAGTTCAGCGTGTAGAAATTAGGTTGCTTTGGTTCTACATGTCACCAGTGCTGGTTAAAGTTTTCCTTCTAACATGTATGTACTGGTGCCACAGAACCTGTACAATGACAAGGTGAGAAAAGTGGTTGTAATGGGACTGGCTCCAATAGGCTGTGCACCTTACTACCTATGGCTGTACAGTAGCAAGAACGGGGAGTGTGTCAAGAACATAAATGACATGATTTTGGAGTTCAACTTTGCTGTAAGATATATGGTTTCTGAACTAAATGAAGAGCTTGTTGATGCCACTATCATATTCTGCGATGCATTTGAAGGTTCAATGGACATTATTCAGAATCACAATCGTTATGGTGAGGCAATGTGTAGGATCTATATAGATTCATTTGACAGGACATGTCACGCGAGAAGATCAAATCTGACATACTCTTTTTTCAATTTTCATTATAGGTTTCAATGTGACAGATGAGGCTTGCTGTGGTTTAGGTGAATATAAAGGTTGGATCATGTGTGTTTCCCCTGAAATGGCGTGTAATAACGCCTCTAGCCACATCTGGTGGGATCAATTTCATCCGACTGATGCTGTGAATGCTATCCTCGCTGACAACGTCTGGTCCAGCCTGCATACGCCTATGTGCTACCCTATGAACCTGCAAGAAATGTTAGCTCAAAGCACCATATAGTTCAACTTAGAGACAATTGTGAATATATGGCCACTGTATAGATAGTATATCATTCTTTGTGTGTTTACATGTAACTTTGGTATTTCTGCAATGTCAACTTTGGTATTTCTGCTAAGTGCATTCAGCTTGAGTAGTTTCTCTAACAATCCGCTATGAGTCCTATGTGGCATGATCTGTAATGAGTAATGACCTATCTAAACGCTCACTCTCTTTGTATTAAAACACACCTCGATACTGAGTTGGCCAATTATTGTTCCCACTCGACAACAAGCAAGCATAGACCAACTCAACATTGAGGCGTGTTTTAATACTAATAGATGATAGTTTGGCTAATAAATTGAACCATGGACAGTTAATGTATGGAACTTGCAAAAATACGATAAATCAAATATGTTTTCGACTATTAACTCAAAACAAACGTTTTCTTAACCAACTTATTTGAAATTGAATTGTAGTTAAGTTGTTAACACATTATATTATATAGTCGATTGCAACTTATTTATAAACTATCCATTTTTTACCCAAATAAATTTAACCACACCAAAAGAAAAAGAAAACTAAAAGAAATAATTCAAATTTGAAAATTCAAAAAGAAAATAAAAATTATAAAGCTGAAAAAAAAAAAGACAAAGGTCTGACTCAAAGCCACCCTCAACGGTCTAAGGGAAGTGAACCGACAAGTAAGCGACCTTGTGTCCCATTCTTCTTAATATATATATATAAATAATATACGGTTTGAACAAAAATTATGGAGCTTCGTTAAAATCAGAAAATTTGAAAAAGACATTCAAAGTGTAGTAATATTTTATAAAAGGTTATACCCCACCGTCACTACTGAAAATTTGAAAAAGACATCAAAGTGTAGTAATATTTTATAAAAAATTATACCCCACCGTCACTACTATCATAACGTACTACTCTTTCTCCGTTTCAAAAACAGTGACCTGGTTTGACTTGACATGAAGTTTTAAAAAATAAAAAAGATTTTTAAATCTTGTGGTCCTAAATTAAAGTTGTCAAATGTACTAAATTGCTTTTTAATCTTTTGGCTTTAAATATGTCACGTGGAAAGCTGAAATTAAAATGTTACCAAAAAAAAAGAAGAGGTTATTCTTTTTTAAATAAACTAAAAAGGAAAGGAGGTCATTCTTTTTTAAACGGAGGGATTAGCTTTTATATTGAAAGTAAAGGAATCCATTAACAAAAGTGATTTTATATTCATTATTCGAATCTAAAATTCTTTGTCGATAACTAAGGATAATCATAATGTACTAGCTCATATATTGGAAGTAAAAGATTTTTTAACAAAAATAATTATATATTTCATGACTCGAATCTAAAATTCTATCGACTACAATGGAGTACATATTAAATATAAGAAATCTACTCAAACGTACTCTTTTTTTTCTTCTTTTTTTATATATAATTATTATATAACATGGACACGTACCTCAATTGTTCCATTGTTATCTATATTTTATTAAAGTTACATATTTAGTACTCCTTTGTTTCTTTGTGTTATTATTTTGTGGACAATTATTATTAAGGTTTTTTGTTGAAGATGCAAGGTTCAATGAACATGTCCACTTGTCCTCTTCTTTATTTTATTTTATTTTTTTTTAAAAAAAAAAGAAACTTCTTGTAGATTTCAAGTTTCAATAGTGACTCAAAGTTTAAAGGAGACAAAAGAATGTGATGCATTATTAAGTTAAACATAAAGTAAACCATAATTCAGAATTCTTATCTTCTTAGATATCAAATAAATCTATTTGATTCTCTTTGTTATACAATTTATAATATGTTAGTGACTCAACTTCAGATCTATGCAACATTTTCTAATTTTTGTTTGGTTGAAACGGGGAGATGTCAGAAATTTTATTAAGAATATTTAATATTTAATATAAATGCATGAAAAATAATTCATAATTTTCTATTCAATGAAACATGTTTGACTGACCACTTGGATGAAGGAAAAAAGATTTTTGCATCTAATTTACTTGCTTTCACTCAGTATTTTTAGTGTCTATATTAATCTTATCATGTTATATAAGAATTATTAAAGAATAAAATATTCTTTAATCATTTTTTTCCTTTCTATAATTCGAATACGAGATCTTTTGAAGAGGAAGTACAAATCCACTACAAAAGAAGGAAAGTTTATTATTTTTTTACAAATTACCAGTTTTGACTATTTTACTTTTACTGTAGATATTGAAAGCAGAGTAATTAATTCATTGTTAATTTTCAAGAGAGATTTTCTGGATTTGTAATACTAATTTGGAACCCATTCCTAGTGCCAAGGTGTTTGTTATGTCACTCAACAATTTGGTACTTTATTTTGTGCAATACATTGAATTTAAAATTTAAAAAGTTCACTTAACATGCTTTTTTAGTATAACAAAGATGTTCCCCAAATTATGATTAAAGTAGCATTCCCCCTAATAGTTTTATCACTTAATTTATCAGTAGGTTATATTAAATTCTTATTGTTACTCCATATTTGAGGGTATTGTATTTCTTAAAATAGATTAAATATAATATATTTTCTATATAATAGAAGTAAAAACATACATTTTAATTAATTGATGTAAAAACATACATTTTAATTAATTGAAGTAAAGATTAAATGTGCTAAAAGTCGATATCACAAGGATCAAAATGATAATCTACCAATTATGATAAATCAATAAATAAGATTTTCCTAACTCATGAACATAGATTTTGAGTTCGAATCATATGTATAGTTCTTCTTTGTTAAAAAAACGTTTTATTCTCAAAGAGAAATTTCAACTATACATCGAATTTAGTCGGTCTTAATACGTGTGAGCAGATCCAAAGTTTTACGCCTTTATTATGAGTTCACAAAAATCTAATAAGTCATATATATTAAAACATTATTAAATGTATATAAATAATTAATTGTGAACTCATTTAATATAATTCGATATTAACGTAAAAAGAAACTTCAAATTTTAAATCTACTTCTGCTTATACAAGTATCATAAACCAGACGAAAAACTTAAAAAAAGTCAATTTTTTCCCTATTTTAAAAACTATTTGAAAATATTTTGTTCAAGTCGAAGGTCCATTAAAAATAATAATTTTCTTATCTCTATGAGATAGGAATAAGATCAACAACAACATAGTTGTACTAGCCAACTTTGAGGTGGAAATTATCGATTAACTAAGCGTGATTTGGCATCTCGTGGTCGAGTACTCTAGGACGGATTCACTCTACTATTATTTCTTATTCTTTCCGAATTTATTTAACGATTGACTAAGCGTGCTTTGATAGCTCGTGATAGAGTACTCTATGACAGATTCACTCTATTATTATTACCTCCTATTCTTTCCAAAATCACTTATAGAATTATACTGATTATATTATTACGGACAAAAAAAAAAAAAAGTTTGAGTGTCACTAAGAAATGTATAAATAAAGTTAAATATAAGTAAAGTTATAAATAATAAATTGAAATAAAGCTAAGTTTGTGAATACTCTTTTATATGAGTCATATAGTCAATAGCAAATAAGCTAAGCTAACGGCTATAATTCCGCTTCTTCCACTCTTCACCTTCTCTCTCCCTCTTCATTGACATTTCTACCGGAAAACTTCAAAAGGCCGGCGAATAAACCGGATACTGTTTCAATTTTCCGACATGTAACCAAGTCATACAACCAAGCTCCGATATCCAATTCCGGGAAATGCAGGGAGGATAATTAAGAAGAAAAAAAAAAGATCCCCTTTTTTTTTTTTAATCAAATCCTTCCTTACCATGTAGCAATATATAAGCTTTTATTCTTTGACCCATTTACCTTTTGATTCTTTCCTACTAGTAAAGAATCCACTATCCTGTGGAAAAGCAAAAAAAAATTGTCCCCAGAGCCTTAGCAATCTAACTTTTCTTTGCACCCTTTTGTGCGTGTGACCTGTTTGATAAAATTCCCCAAAGAAGTGAATTGTTGAAGGTTTACTTGGATTCTTGATCTTTAAGCTCTGCATTTCTGAGGAGTTTTGGATCAATAGTTATTTGGGTATTTCATTTATTGCAGTTTAGGATTGTGAAAGTTTGAATCTTTGGTCTTGATTGCTTTGAGTTCCTTTTATTTGTTTTTTGGTTTTATCTATTATTGGTTTTTTTCTTTTCTGGGTAAGAAAGGTAGAGTCTTTTGGTAAAAGGGGAATTACATTTCTGCATTGAGGATTTAAGATTGAGCAATCTTGTACATGGTTGATGCCCTGTTTGAGATTTTTGAATACTTATATAGTCATTAAGGAGTATAGGGGTTCAAGAAAATCTTGAGGCTGGTGTGTAAAGCCTTGTATAATCATCACGATGTCTGCTGTTGATGTGGCTTTGAGTCCGGTTCAGGAAGAGTCTGTCCGGGCTACAAGACATATCTATGGCCCATTGGCGCTTTGCACGAATGAATCAATTGTAATATATATCACTGTGGCTGGTTCTGTGATTCCAATGCGCGTGTTGGAGTCTGATTCGATTGGTGAAGTGAAACTTAAGCTCCAAACTTGTAAAGGGTTTGTGGTTAAGATGCAGAAGCTAGTTTTTGGTGGTAGAGAGCTGGCAAGAAATGAATCTTTGGTCAGGGACTATGGAGTCAGTAATGGGAATGTGTTGCATATGGTCTTCAAGATCTCTGATCTCCTTGTTATCACTGTTAGGACCACTTGTGGCATGGAATTTGAATTTCCTGTTGACAGGCATCAAGATATTGGGTACCTTAAACGTACCATATTGAAGAAAGGCAAAGACTTTGGTGAGGAGCTTAAGGTTCAAGAGCTTTTCTGTAATGGTGAGAAGCTTGAGGATCAGAAGCTCATTGATGATATTACTGCTGATGCAGTGATTCACCTGGTAATTCAGAAATTTGCAAAGCTTCGGGCTAAGCATGCCGAGAGGGATGTTGAACTTTCTGTTGTTGCAGCTAATTGGAATGAGGAGACCCAAAGTCAGGGTGTACATGAACCATCCAGGGAGTTCCAGTCCTTCTCCAAGAAGGCACCTGATAGAAACTTGTTGTTGGAACCTTTTGTTGTTGATCCAAATATTGAACTGCCTGGATATATCTGGGACATGATCAACTCTGCATGTGATGGATTGACGAAAGGCAATATACCTATCCGATCATCTGAAGGGACTGGAGGAACTTATTTCATGCAGGATGGGTCTGGCAACAAGTATGTTGCTATTTTTAAGCCCATTGATGAGGAACCTCTAGCTGTGAATAACCCTCAAGGACTACCTTTATCAACCAATGGTGAAGGGTTGAAAAGGGGAACCCGAGTTGGAGAAGGTGCATTCAGGGAGGTTGCAGCTTTCCTACTGGACCATCCAAGGACCGGGCACCGAACATTGTCCAATTGTGAGATAGGCTTTTCCGGTGTGCCTCCCACTGTTATGGTTCAGTGCTTGCACAATACATTTCATCATCCTGATGGATTTGAGTGGTCATCCGAATACACCAAAGTTGGTTCACTGCAGCTGTTTATGAAGAATGAAGGAAATTGTGAGGATATGGGTCCAGGAATATTTCCTGTTGAGGAAGTCCATAAGATTACTGTCTTTGACATAAGAACAGCAAATGCTGATAGGCATGCTGGGAATATTCTTGTGAGCAGGGAAGGGAAAGAAGGACGAATTGTGCTTACACCAATTGACCATGGCTACTGCTTGCCTGAGAATGTAAGTTATGATTGTGTTATTCCTTACAAATGTTGTTTGACAATGATTAGAAATGCTATGAACTTGTGATTGCTTCCTTGTGAGTAATTTTTCATTTTCACTAAATTGATTATTGCATATGGAAGTTCTTATGCCTTGTGAATACTTCTAATATTTCGGTTATGATTTGTCTGATGTGGAGAAACTTCGAGGTGCCTAGTTTGAATGCCAAATAACTTGTTCCTTCCCTGCATGTATTGTTTACCCTGTCAATGAGCTTAATATCTGCCCGGTAAGATGTACCTGACAATAAGGTTAGAGATGGTTTAGCTGGATATATTGCCTCTCATATCTTTAGGTCCAGTTCCCTCCTCCAAATTGTAGAAGGAAGTTTTTAAACTCTCTTAAGATCTGTGATATTTTCTATATCTGTATGACAGCCCTGATTCATAATGTCCAAGAATCTCCACCGTCAAAACTGAAACTTTTATCTTTCTATTGGTTTGTTAGCATATATACTAATTCAACATTTAATTCCTTTCAAGAGTTGCACTCACAAATTTGTTATCTGCAGTTTGAAGATTGCACCTTTGATTGGCTCTATTGGCCACAAGCCCGTAAACCTTACTCTCCAGAAACTATCAAGTACATCAAATCACTGGATGCTGAACAAGACATTGACCTTCTTAAATTTTACGGATTGGATTTGTCTGTTGAATGTGCTCGTACTCTTCGTATCTCAACCATGCTTCTGAAGAAAGGGGTAGAGAAAGGACTTGCTCCATTTGACATTGGAAACATGATGTGCAGGGAAACCTTGAACAAGGAATCTGTTATCGAGGAAATCATTCGTGATGCTCAAGATTCTATGCTTCCTGGCATGACTGAAGCTACATTTCTTGAAACTGTCTACAAGCTCATGGATATCAAGCTTGAGAAGCTAAAATATAAATCTTCCTAAGGATTGTAAGTATGTATCTTCGATTCTGTTATATGTATATAGCATTCGGTCCATATATATAAATGGACTGAATGAAGATAGCAAAGGTTGATGACTGACCTTGTCCGTCTATGGTCGGAAACCTTTTTTCCTCTCAACTACTGCTCATTACCAATATGATGGTTCTTTAACTATGGAGCAGAAGTTGCAATATGCAATAAATAATAAATAAAACAAACTGTTATTTATAAAACAGTTGTCATGTATCCTTTCTCAATGAGTGAAGTGATACTGAGTTTTATGTACAAAAGCTATCAAATTCCTTGTCTCACTAAGCAGCACCAACTAACTTGTGAAATTTTATGTTTACTAGAGGATTGTAGTTTGAATAGATGAGCCTTGGCGCAATGTTAAAAGTTGTCGCCCGCTCTCTCACACAATTATAAGATAATGTTGTTCTAATCCGCAAGAGTAGCTGAGTTGGTTGAGCAAAGGATCCTCCTAAGTGGAGAGTCTCGGATTTAAAACCTCTACATGTTTTCTCAGTTGAGCTCATCATACGTGGATTGAATGTAAAAGTGAAAAATGAGATAAAAAATACATATTATAAATAGTTTTTGAAATATAAAATTGCCTCTCTGTCTCCCATATTTGATGAAATGAACCTCCTTTACTGGTTGAAGGTAAAGGAAATTCATCACTAAAGCAAAAAAAAAATTCTAGCATTATAAAAACTTGAGGTATAACTTTTGAATTTATTTAAAAACTTTTATTCTTCTATCTTCTTTTGTCTTAATAGGGTCCCATATATGGACTTATCCACTTCAAAAAGGAAGTAAAGAGAGAAGTAATTAAAGTGTGGTCCAATAGTCAATTAAGTTAATGAAAAATTATGAAATTTTACATTTAAATTTTAATAGAATAAAAAATATCAGATATTTTTTTCTTGGTCATTCAAGTATTGGAGATAAAATTATTTTGGGATTGTTTGGTAGTTAATTTGAAAATGGTTACGCAAGTCTTCATTTGCATTATATAGAAATAAGTTACCAATACATGAGTAACTAATTCTCCATAAAATAATATTGCTTCCATTTCAATTTGATTGTCCTACTTTTTTTAAGTTCGTTTGAAAAGGAAGTTTTTAATTATAACTTTCCACACAACATCTTCAAGACTTACATTTAGTATATCTTTAATTTAAAACCACAAAATTCAAAAGTCTTTTTATTTTCTTAAACTTCATATCAAATCAAAATAAGACAAACAAATTGAAACGAAGAAGTAAATACACATATTTCCTATTAACTTGTATGTTACTAATATCAATATAACTCAAATACTTGCACTAGTACAAAATATTACATACATATTAGACTTTATCTAAATACGTAATATTTTAATACAAAACTCTATCGAGATACACGTAATCCATACCAACCATTACTCATACCCCTCAAAGAAGTGACAAAAAGAACAGAAATTACGGATAGCAAATTGCAAAAAAAAAGTCCACATTTTCACTCTCTTTATATCACTTTATTGAATCATAAAAACAACACAAAATCCCTTTCTTTCACTTTCTCTTGTCTTTTTCTCTAAACAAAAAAAAAACTCGTTGTTCAACATTTTTCTGAATTTTTTCACACACAAAAAAAAAAATGGTTAAATCTCGTAAACCTCCAAGTGGACGTACAAATTTAGCTTCTTGTATAGTTGCAACAATTTTCTTAATCTTCATCTTCATTATCATCTTCATCCTTTACTTCACTCTTTTCAAACCTAAATCCCCCATTATCACCGTTAACTCCATTCAGCTTCCCTCTTTCTCCACCTCTAACGGCACCGTTAACTTCACCTTTTCTCAATACGTCTCAATCGAAAACCCAAATCACGACGAGTTTGCTCACTACGACAGTTCTCTGCAGTTACTTTATTCGGGTAATCGAATCGGGTTCATGTTCGTACCCGCCGGAAAAATTAACTCAGGTCGGACTCAGTATATGGCGGCGACGTTTTCGGTGAAGGCGTTTCCGTTAACGGTGAATGGACAACCGGAGAGTGTGGGTGGGCCGACGGTGACGGATGGGTTGAGTGGGTTTCGGGTCGGATCTAGTATGGAAGTGGAGTCGAGATTGGAAATGGCGGGTCGGGTTAGAGTGCTCCATTTTTTTACACACCATGTGGAGAGTAAAGCTGAATGTAGAATTGGTATTTCTGTGAGTGATGGATCTGTTACAGCTTTCCACTGTTAGTTTTATTTTATTTTAACTCGGGAGAATCCGCAACTGCTATTCTTCAAATGGAAATGGAGTAGATCGGCCCAAGTGTAATAGCTCGCAAACGTATTAGTTTTTAGTACTAAGTTTTAATTTATTTATTTTTGGTTTAGTGTATTTTTGTGTTTGGTGGTGAATTTTCAGAGTGACTGTAAAAAATGTTTGTTTTATTAATTTAGTACATCATTGTTGAAGATATTTTTGATAACCTTTTGTGTTTTCGTTCGATGTTCGATATACGCGTTGTAATACATTTAGTGTAATTTTATTAGTTAAGTTTGTGAAGAGTAGAGTTGTGAAACTAACATCACCTTGTAGTGGTAATAAAATTGCTTCAGAAAGACTCTCGACTTGACATTTTGGTATTCGTATTTAAATTTACGTTTGAAAAGTCTCATATTAAGATAAAACCTCTTTAACAAAGATGATTTGAATCTAAAATTTTAAATTAATGATGAATAAGTACTTATCACTTAATTTGATTTATAAAAAAAAAGTCCTATTGTTGTTACATATACATGAATTTCTTTTTTTAAAAAAATAATTAAAAAGACCAAAGTGTTGTGAGTTTTATGAGCTGCATTAGCTGGAAAGATAATCTTTGTTTCTTTCTGTTTAAAGTTAATGATTATTGATTAATAAAAAATGCAAAACTATAATTAGAAAGGTAAAAAACAACTTGCGATAAAAATGGAGGATTTTAAGAGGAATGTCAAGTAAGATAATGGGTGAATCACGATGCAAATAAACTCGAAAAATAGTGTTAACTTATAAGTCATAAGTTATAAATCCACGTAAACTTAAACATGATATATATATTTCAAAACTTATGAAATATTTAATTATTAATTAAATTATTATTATATATTAATTTAAAATTATAATAAAAATTCATAAATTTTAAATTTCGAAGTCGTTTCGATAATGGACAGCCCATGAACAGTGGCTAGTGGGTACACCACATGAATTGTATGGACCAATATTTGAAATAATTGATGGTGTCCTTTTCTGCAAACATTTTACTTTTGTGTGTGGGTTTAGGTCTCTTGGGATTAGAGTTTGTAGGGAACTTCTTTTTCAACCTTTTTCTCTATGTGAGTAGAAAATGGATCTAACTTGATACCATCCAATGCTCTTTCAAATAATTAACATGAGTGGCGGAATAAGAATTTTCGCTAAAATGGTTCAAAATAGGAACAAGTAAGCATACGAAAAAAAGTTGAAGGTGGTTCAACATTCATGATATATACATAAAAAATATATATGTATGTAATGTCCTTATTTTTATGTATATAGTGGACATTCTAAAAATTGGAAGGGAGCATGTAATTTTCAAGTCAGCTATCATTTAATTTGATTAACTCTACGAGATATCTATTATCTTTCATTAATATGAATATAAAATAGTCATGTACATTAAAGTTTAGAAAGATAGGCATATTTCACCAAATGGATGAATTCCCACTCAACAAATGGATCCATTCATATGTGTGTGTAGATATAGTTTTTTGAATCACTTTCATTTATGCATTTAATAGCATGGTCTATGTTGATGAGAATGATCCCGTATCGGGACGAGAATTTTAGACTCATTCAAAGTTTTGAAAATCTTCATCTATTTGAACTAGTCTTTTGAAGTGTAAGATAAATTTAATACCTAATTTGACATGATATCAGAGTATCATGCGGGAATGTCAGTATGTCACACTCCGTTCCGACTTCCTATGGAACCCTAATTAAAAAAATATCTGGATTCAAGAGCTAGATATAGCCAAAAAAAATTAGTAGAAATTATAAAGTAATTTCTTACAAATTTCATGCCTTAGGATTCTTGACCTACTTGCATTATTGAAGATGAAGCTACAAAAATAGTTTTAAGAATAATTCAATTACAATAATGAATTGACGACTTTAGTTGGCTGGAAAATCCATTGAACTTTCTCATTTGTTAATTGTTACTTTATTGATGGGAAATGCTCCTTGACTTCTTAAGAATCATAATATTTTTTTCGATGAAATAATAAAATGAATTTCTTTTTCTTTTCAAAAACTCCATTGAATATGTAAAGTCAAGAAAAACATTTGTAGATACGTCGCTTATTTATCGTTTTCGCTCAGAATCCAAAACAAACACATAGATATATTGAAACCCCATAGAAGAACCAAACAAATTTTATTTCTAAGAGGTTACTCGAATAAATGATTTGGCATAAGAACAAAATTAATCATTAAAAAAATATAAATCGTTATTAAAACATTATAAAGTTGTTGAGTTGTGAACCTTCTTGTGGATTAATCTGAACACCAACCAAAGAACAAGTCAAATCAAGACAAAGAATGTTTTCTTCTTTCACATTTAACCTAAAGCCTTTTAACACCTTGAATTCCCTTAACAAAATCTTCAATAATCCATTAAAGGATCTCTCATTTCTTTGTTTTCTTCTCTCTTTTTCTCGATAATCGTACTGTCCAAACCAGCTTGCATCCATCTCGACTAATTCCACAGAAACAAAACTCAATGCCTTGGAGTCCAACGGACATTGTAGGCACTCAATTGGTGTTTTTTGATGATCATGGAGGCTATGGATTAGACGAATTGTTACGATCAACGGCCGGAGTTTTAGGTAAGGGAGTTTTCGGGACGAGTTATAAGTCGGAGTTGCCAGGGAAAAATGCAGTAGCTGTGAAAAGATTGAAGGTTGGTTGCTTAGCTGAGGAAGAATTCAGAGATAAAATTGGTGAAGTAGGAAAGATGGTTCATGAAAATTTGCTTCCTCTTAGAGGATATTGTTGGCATCAGAATGAAATTCTTCTTGTATATGATTATGTTAGAATGGGAAGCTTAGCTTTTCGTTTACATGGTATGTTTTCTTCATCATTATCTCCTCTCTATAACAACGTCGTTTGTTCTGATATATTTTGGTTGCTATAGTGAAATGATGTTATAGAAAACATATCATATAGCATAACATATAAACAATCGGTTCCACAAAAAACATGGATAGAGAGAACTGACTGAGTCGAAACTCTCTATAGCAACGTTGTTTATTCCGATAGTGAAATGTTGTTATAGAGCACATATAATATAACAGAAACCATCGGTTGCAGAGAAGACATCATGGTTATTATAGTGAAATGTTGTAGAGGATGATTGTTATAGAGTGATCTGACATAGTCAAACCTCTCTATAACAACGTTGTTTATTCCAATGTTTTTGGCTGCTATAGTGTAATGCTATTATAGAGAACATAAAATATAACATGAACAATCGATTCCCTAGAAAACATTTGTTGAAGGTTGTTATAGAGAGGTCTGACTTTTAACTTTGATATTAATATATAGGGAATGAAGGTAGGAGCAAGGCCTCACTTACATGGGAAGTAAGAAGTAGCATTGCTTATGGGGTTGCCCGTGCAATTGAATTTCTCCATTCCCGAGGCTCGGATTTCTGCCATGGAAACATAAGATCATCCAATGTTTTCCTCACCGACTCCTTATCAGGTGTTCGTCTCTCTGAATTTTCCATTGCACGAATTCTCTCTTCAGATACAAAACTAGAGCTCGTGGCTGGTTATCGCGCACCAGAAGTGACAAATGCTCATGAAGTCTCACAAAAGTCAGATGTCTATAGCTTTGGTGTTCTGCTCTTGGAACTATTAACTGGTAAAGCTCCACTAGATGCATTTACCAAGAACAAAGGAGTAGATTTACCTAAGTGGATCCGTTCCATGTTTCAAGAGAAGCCGGTCATCGATGTTTTTGACACCCTGCTACCTAAACATGACCAGAGTAGTGCTGAGCAAATGGTCCTTCTGTTACAGCTTGCAGTTTGCTGTACTTTTCAGTATCCAAATAAAAGACCTTCAATGGCTGCAGTGACAAAACAGATAAGGGGTACCTGCAGGTTTCATTGATGACAGCACAATAAACAACAACATAATAGTTGTTTTTATCTTACCATATGTGTTTACAAATATGATAGTTTTGGATCCATCTCGTCTCCATTTCCCCCCACGTTCCTTCTTGGATGTGTGAGTGTGGGATACTTGTCTTATTTAACTACTGTTCTGTATATATTCGAAAGATCATAAGGAATTTTCCTAATCGATTCCTCTGCCACGAGGACTCAACTTGACAAATGGTGAACAGAATCTCAAAAGTTGTTCCCTTGAAACACGACATTAGTTTGAATACAAAATACCAAACAGAAATAATCTCACAAGGGATACTTCTATAACAAAAATATTATCAATAATACAATGGGTAGTATATGCACAATTTCAATTTGTAACACTCAACAATAGGTAATAGGATGAGGCACAGAACTGATAGATAGATTCACCGAAACATAGAAACATGAACAAATAAAACTGGAGTCGAAGGTAACAAGAGATGACAATGCATCTGTAAAGCAACTTTAGCACCAGTAGAAGGCACAACTATTAAGCTAAGAGCAAAATGTAATGTGTCGATAACTATAAATATACTCGAGCAAGGGAACAAATTAGACAAACATACCATCTATCGGTGTAGTGGTATTTGTTTTATATCATCATTCATGTAAACTGGTGTTTCTTGGACTCTACAAGTAAATCAGGTTTCCACCATTGGTGAATCCCGTGAGCTTCTTTGAAGTCTGACGGAGGAGTCAAATTTACTGTTAAATTGGCTGATGGAATAAGGTGCAATGGCTCATCACACTCCTTCCCCATGAAATTCAAGACAAGACCACCAAGTGAGTGTTGGGTTGCTACCTTCTCGATAACTCCTGCTCCCATGGTATCCATGTTTTCCCGGTGTTCAAAATAGCCAATGTATTCTGCGCAAACAGGATCCGATGGATTCACATATAGGCACGGTGTCCATGCAGATAATGCAACAAATGTATCTCCAGATTGATTATTCACGTTTTTATGCTTCGCAGCAAAAGCAAGTCCAGCTGTTATAACACTGGTTGCAAATCTGATCCCATGTTTCACCTTTTTATCTTTAATTCTTTCAATTGGGGCCGACAAGAATGGCGGATTAAACAAAAATGCATCTAGAAATACACCAGTCTTTGCCATGGTTTTTCCAGCAAGCATTGCCATTGCAGCCCCCAAGGAATGACCAGTTAGCCAGATACTTGAGCTTCCAAATGTTGCAACCACATGTCGAACAGCTTGAATGGCCGTCTCAAAGCGTGAAGTCTGATGAAGTCCATTCCTGAGAATGTGGACATCCAATTGTATATCTCGTGAAAATGCATCACCTTTGGTTAAGGTCCCACGGAAAGCAATAACAAATCGTTGGCTTTTATCTTTGGAACCGTCAAAATAAGATTTTGAGGGTGCAAATTTATATATAGCACCAAAAATGCAGGAATCAACATCATCAACAAGCACGCGATATAACTCAAATTGGAAATGTCTCCACCATGGAGGAGCAAGTGCTTGACTTCCCTTCCGTTTTTCTTGCTTGTCACGCTCTAGGATGTAGACGCCCTGAACCAAACTGGCAGCCACAGATCGTTGATGAGCAACATTTTCCCTGCATTAGGTAGAAGAACAATATTACTCGTAACAACTGTCTCTGTAAAATGGCTGGACACTTCCAGATTTCAAGCAAGAGTAAGTGTTGGGCAGCATGAGAGTGAGTAGTGTTGCCAAACAATAGCATTAAGCTTCATAATTTGGAAAAGACGATGAATGCATATAGTTCAAGCTAATATCAACTCCTCTATACCTCTTTGTTTCTACTTTCTTGTATCTATTTTGTTTATTGGGTGAAAGATCAAGGAAACTTATTTCTAGAAAAGAACCGGCATAACACCCATTCTATTAAGCATAATATCATGCTAATTTAGGCAATTGCAGGCATGACATCTCCAAATCGTCTCAGAGAACTTGGCTCTATCTCTCTTTATCAATAGTAGTGAGACCAAAGTAAATTATGTCCTATTCCATGGAGTAAGTGTTAAGCTCATGTTCATCCTAGATAGGCAGGGGCAGATCAAGGGGAGCGGAGGGTGTTCACCCAAACCCCCTTGACAAAAAGTTACATTGTATATATATAGTATTTTTTCATTTTTTATGTACATATATAGATTTTGAATCCCCTAAATACTAGACTAGAGGTTGACTCAGTAATTTAGCGGGTTCAAAATTTACCTCCAAGTTCAAATCCCAGCCACTACATTTTATTCTCGAACCCCCTTAGTGAAAATCCTAAATCCGCCACTAAAATGATAGGGTGCAAGGTGTACTAGGGCACTTACACAACTGTAGCAAAGTGATCTAAAATCTTGGAGGCGCTCTTATCACTTGGTAGACCCAGGGTATAAAGGCAAAATCATTCTGCACATCCCAAACCTACTTATCCTTCAGTCAGGGAAAAGTGGTGTGGGTTCTCATTATGATGTTATATTTGACAGACTTACCCTGATTTATTCATAGTTGAGACGAACAACTTGCAAACCGGTGAAGTGGGGAGAGAAATACATTATTTTAAAGGGATTTACTTTGCGACATCCCATAAAAGAAAAGACGAGAATCAATCAAGAATGGAGGTAGTAATTTGAGTATGGATCAAGACACTTGATGTTTCAACGTCTTCCTTTGCAAGAACTAAATAGTTATGGCAGTGTAAGACTTGTAACTTAGTACAATGGCAAGCAGATCTGAAATCCATGAGCACTACACTCTTGTTAACTCCTGAGAATATATGCCCAACTCCTCAATACTAAATATATTACATCTTTGTACTTCCATTAATTTCATAGTGTTCCATGTATAACTAGAAATTTATCAGATATTACATCTCCGATAATTCCATCACCTTTATGATATGCAAAACCTTTATTTAACTAAATAAACATGGAAAAGAACTTACACACCAGTCAATAGCAGTTAGGTGCACAGGTCCACATTGGTCAAAAAGTTCCTTCTCTGAGATTAATACATTTTGTTCTTCTTGACCCTGCACAAAACACAATGGGGAAACAACAACAGTGACGATCATGACAAGTGTTGCAAAACTCCATCTGAACCATTATGTAGACTGTTGTTACCATAAATAGTTTCTAAATTTTACTAGCCATCAAGTCGTCCAGCTAAGAGTAGTCAAGTAATTTCTTATACCACATCTCAGCCAACTCTCCACACGCACTATAATTGATATTAAAAAGCTTCTAGCAAGACCAACTCTATTACGGAACTTGTACAAAAGGGATGACGCTGAGTTAAACCTCAAAATCCAAGTGTCAGAACCACGAATTTATTTATGGGTGAATTGTCCAGCTTTAAGTGGGTTGGTTTTGCTCTAACCAATGGTTCTTGCCCCAATTGAATGGTTCAAATAACAGTGATATCATTTCATAGATAGTCGTGTCTCTAGACACAAATCTCGCATATCCCCCTCTTATAGAACTCTTATTGGTTTATAAAGAAAACTATAAGTATACCTAACTTCACATTCATATTTGAGTATATCTCCTGGGGGTTCAAATTCTAGTTTCTTCAGCATTCTTCTGTTTTGCTAGCATCTGTTAACACTTGTTTAACCTTGCCATCAAAAGTGCCACTAAGCAAGAAGTGAGCTGCTAAATGAAGTTCACCAACTTCATTCTTTGGTACAAACTATATTACGTATAACGATGCACTACTGTATGAACTTGAACCAATAGCAAGATTAGAAGATGGTCATCAAAGTTAATTCCCATTTCACATGATTCTCAGAGATTCAGAGTTACCATTTACTACCCTAATCAAAATATTTTTCTTGGAAGGGCATTGCAATCAACAACATACACAGTGTAATCCCACAAATGGGGTCTAGGGAGGGTATGATGTACGCAGACCTTACCCCTACCTTTGAGGTAGAGAGGTTATTTCCAATGACCGTCGGCTTAGAAAAACAATTATCAAAACATAATTGCAAGAATAATATGACAACAAAGTAGCAATATCAAAGCAGCCAGAAAAAATAAAGATAGCAAAGAGGCAAGATGGACACAATCAATGAAGCAACAAGTAAAAATAAAACAAAGTAAAAAAAGACTACTCATTTACTAAATTGTAATACTACTAAAGAGAGAAAAGTAGCATAGGAGACTAACCTCTTGACTCTTCCCCTTAAAGGTGCTACACCACTCGCTACCTACTAACCTTCTACCCCAATCCTCAACCTCCATACCATTATCTAATGCATAGATCACAAACAATAACTCTGAATAGTCTAAAAAACATATATATAGCAATTGACATGGGGTTAGCCTAATGTTAAGGACCCTCTATCTCAAACCATAAAAGTTAGGATCCAAATCACCAAGTAGCATAGTATAAAATAGCTACTCAAGGAACCTGGATGCAGGGGTTCTACTGGTGGGGTTTACCACATTAAGGTTTATTTCAAAGGAAAAAATAAAACTTTCCTAATAGCAACATTTGCTTACATATAAACTCTGAATAGCAAAATGTAACATCTAACATGGAACATCTACAGAGTAGCATTTGCCTTATTGCTCAGATACTTCTCAAGGTATAGAAATTCAAAATACCCTTTTGCCAGCAAGTTGGATCAATCAAAAACAGAACAAAAATACCACAAACATTACAAAAAAGATACAATCTTTAGAATAAACATGCTAGGAAAACAAAAAAAAATGCAATCTTTAGAGGGAAAAATGACAGAAACATCAAAAAGATTGAATTTTTAGTCTATATGACATAAGGTTATTCAAGATCCAACCTTTGTAGCTGTAACAATATCATTGCTGGTAGCCATTTTCTAAGATTTTCAAGAACCCACCTTCCAAATAGGTCAGCTGGAGCCTGGAGAAGGAGGTGGGACGATGATGTTAAACTGTCCTTTTCGATTTTACAACAATTTTGATGGTTTTGTCTTCTTCCTTCTATAAAGAGACACTAAAATTGAAGTACCCTTTGTTATTTATTTATCTATTTTTTAATCATTTTCTTCCTCTTTTTTTTCTTTTTGAGGAATATTCTTTTTCTCTTTTTTCATCCTTGAAGGACATGTGCACAAATAACCACTTGGAGGACCAATATCAAAATAATGATTTAAACTTATCAAAGTATTTAATGTTTAACCACTTATTATTAAGTTCTTATTTATTTAAAATTATTATTATATTATTACTCCTAGGGGTAGGTATAGGGGGAGATGGGAGTGGTGATTATTATGATTATAAAGTGGAAAATTTAAACTTTTCTCAAAGTAGAAGTTAAAATAGTCGATCAATGATTTACTTGATTAAAGTTAAAAATTTTGGGTACGGAGTTTCAGGAATCAAGTTTGAAAATATAGGATTGAAGTTGCAAATTTCGACTCTGAAGTTTTAGAATTGTATAGTTAACTTTAAATCTAGATATGTAGAGTAGGTAATATCAAACTTTACACATTTGAATATGAAATTAGATTTGACAATCCTCAATTTACAATGACGTAAGTAATATATTCTAAATGATGATATCTTTCATCAAGAATTTGAACAATTCAAAAGGCTTAAACTTAAAAAGACTCCAAAGCCTAATTTCAAACCTTCAATATCAGCTGGCATATTGACGTATAGTAAATGACTAAAGGCTATTATTACAATTTAAAATTCAGCTACATTGGCTAAAAATTAAATACTTTTTAGAAAATTAGATATTATAGATCAACTTTTTAATTCTTTTTTGGGCTTTTTATGAATAATGGGCCCATTATTGGGTAAGGCTTGAAGTTACTTTGTTGGCCCAATTAGATCTATTAACTTTCAAGTATTCCATATGGCCCAATATTTAATGGGCGGTGCAAAACTTTGATAATGACATTTAACTGTAAATTGATTTGCTGAAAATATTTCACTATGCATAACACTATTTGATTTTAAACGGAAGCGTTAACGTAACTGATAAAGTTATTGTCATGTGATTAGGAGAAGATCACGTGTTTAAGCTTTGGAAATAACATTTTGCAGAAATGCAGAATAAGACCGCATACAACAGACTTTTATGGTTTGAACCTTTTTGTGCGTAGCAAAAGTTTAATACACCGGACTGTCTTTTCCCCCTTATTAAAAATGTATCAACCACTATTTAATTTTGACATTTGTTGATAGTGCAAATGGCGTTTACATGTCTAGTGTAAATTGACCGATTTGAAACAAATTAGTTATTTGTCTTTTTTATATACAAAATGTTAGCTACACACAATTACATATAACTTTTAAATAACCAAGTCGTGCAAAAATATTTACCATTATCAAAAAGAAAGTAATCGTAAACTTAGTCAAGTCAATAAATCATATTTTTAGCAGAGAAGAAGATCCCTCTACGAAACATCGATAATGATTCAATAATCTAAAAAGAATTCGATACAAAATAAATGTATTAGCTATTCAACGCGTAACATATATAATGATGTGGAAAGAGTAGTCAGCAAATTGGCAGGATGTATAGATCACAAAATGGAAATTATGTGACTGTTTTGCCTTTTAGCTAAATTTAGACAAATGTTAGTCATTAACAATTTAGTTATACTAAATTAACTTATATGCCTCTCTTTCTTTATTTTGTTTGTTTGTTTAACCTCTTTTCGGATTTAACACCGTCCATTTTTCTTGAGTAGTACACCTCAAGAAAAATATTGATTCGATTAATTTATATTCATATTAAATTTAAAATTTCTTGTTATAAATAGAAGAATTTCGTTCATCCTAATATATACTATGACTTCTTCTTTTTCAGATCTGTTAAATTAAAGAAATTAGACATATAATTTGTTTGATCAATTTTTTGGAAAGTCGAGAGTTCTTATTTGCATATTTTTATCTATGATTTTTAAAAAAGTGTTTGTTTTTTGAAAAGTCAGATTTTTAAAAGTGTTTGAGTGAAGTTATAAGGAGAGAAAAAATATGTTTTTAACATAAATTGATTAGCCAAACATAAATTACGATTATTTAAAAGTTTTTTTTTAAAAAATAAAAAATAAAAAAACAAAATAATTGTTGGAATATTCACATGGCATATGTCGAATGTGGTAACTGCTACTGCCGACAGATAAATCACATACTACATGTGAACTGTACAACATATTATTGTACTTAAATCTGTTTAATTTTACTCATCCTCATAGCGCGGGACTTTTCGATGCGAATTTAAATTTATATAGATATCAAATACATTGAGCGGAAAAGAAGAAAAAATTGTTGCGACTTTACCCTTATTTGCTCTCAAAGAGTGCGTTGTCACACATATTGAAGATATAAATCGTACTAGACAAATCCGATGTGATAAGCTCGACTAAGAATCGATGACTAAGAAAGAACCAAGTGGGATTCAACCTATAGCCTCAGTAATGGAATACTTCTACTACACCAACTCAGTCAACCTTGCAGATTGTGAATATTAATCGTTCAACCATAACAAAACAAGATAAATAAAAGAACGGTTCTTTCAATATATCTATCAATCGATCTACGTCTCAATCCCAAACTAGTTGAAATCGGTTATGATGTGCTAAAACAAGACTCAAATGCTGATAGTTATTATTATACAAAGAAAAAGGAATGAAAGAACAAATGAAATACTACTATATGCTTAAATTAGAAAGGCTATATTATTCATCAACTTTCTTAGATTTTCTTTTTTTTATCTAACTACTGACTCATTGAAACCCCAATTACATTCTGAAACTTATAAGTTAGACAATATAAACATTATAATCCCCTCTAATAGCCCTAGAACTATACGTCGAATCGTCCCTTCGAAGACTATGGATTCCATACACGATGCAACAACACGAACGATGCGACTATGACGATATTATGCAGTTGAAGTAGACTTCAGTGACAGTTATTAGATTCTGGAGTTCCTTCATAGCCATAGGGATTCTTCTTAGCCCAGTTCCACTGATCCCTACACATCTCTTCGATGCCATATTTCCCCCTGCAAGCAACATAAACCGGAGTGTTTAGAGGCGCATTCAGAATTTAAAGGTAGGACGTGTGTATTGGTGTGTTAGAATCTCGAAAAGCAATGTGAACTACATGACTTACTTCCACTTCAATTCGCGTTCTGCTTTCTCTGTTGCAGCATATACAATTTCAGCATCTCCAGGGCGTCGACCAGACATAACCATTGGAATTTTCTGGAAAAAAAAGTACAGAAATAGGTAAATAGTGCAAACTAAACACTCATAAGGGTCTTTACAACAACTGGAAAGTTCAAGAATTAGCAAAGTCTATTCACAAGGAAGTAGAAAACGAAAAATGAATGTCACTCGGCTATGAGATGGGAAAGAGCTAGGCACTTGTCTTAGCTTTGATAGACAGAGTTACCGTATCTATACTGGTGGGAGGTACCCGGACGAATTAGTCTAGGTGAGTCAAAAGCATGCAAGGGCATCGGTACCCCAAAAAAAGAAGAGAGCTAGCACTAGTAAGAAAACACTAGTAACCACAAATAGCCTCCCGGCTTGAGGGAAATTGTGATTTCCTTTTTCCTCCGCCATTGAGAGGAATTGGATGCAACATTATAACGATACATCAAGGTGGAATGCAATTGAAAACTACCTTTCCAGAAGCCTTCTCAAATGCGGCCACCATTTCAAGGACTGAAGTTCCTTTTCCAGTTCCCAAGTTGTACACTTCACAGCCTAAAAAGATCGATCAAAATCAGCAGAAATAGCAATACAGCTGTAAAAATGAGCCAACGGAGAACAATACTATAAACTATCACGATAAAAACTCTATATCAAATAGCAAGTACATACCTATGGAAGGATCAGATAGCTTCTGCAAGGCAGCAATGTGTCCGTCTGCTAAATCCATAACATGAATGTAATCACGGACCTGGAAAAAAAACACGACATGATTATTCTCCGAGGAAAATCTCATAAAAAGGACAGCTTTTTGTCATATTTAGCCAAACTACTAAACAACGGTATTGCTGGACATCGTAAAATCATAGCTTGTCATATAAAAAAGACACCAGAGTAAATTGAAAGTTAAAATGTATCTAACACGTAAAGATTTGCTATTGAAAATATAGTCATACCCCTGTACCATCCTTCGTTCCATAATCAGTTCCATAAACTGTCAGCTCTTTTCTTCTGCCAACAGCAACTTGCTGAACAAATGGCATAAGGTTGTTAGGAATTCCTCGCGGATCTTCACCAATTCGGCCACTTGGATGAGCACCAACAGGATTAAAGTACCGCAGCAATATGATTTTCCATTCAGAGTCCGCGTTTTGTACATCACGGCATATTTCTTCAATGAAGAGCTGACAATTGAGACTTGTTAGATGATGAACAGATAGAATAAACAGACTATTTTGGACTTCAACAAGTTGAGCGCTAAAAATGCGAGATGAAACAATTGACAATACCTTTGTCCGTCCATAAGGATTTGCAGCACTCAGGGGGAATTCCTCAGTACAAGGAACCACTTTTGGCCAACCATAAACAGTAGCTGACGATGAAAACACAAGCTGGAGAAGCAGAGAAGGAAACCAGTTAAGGACTTACAAGAAAACAGATGCATCATAAAAGTAAATCAAAGTGCGAGGAATACCTTTTTGCATCCATGAGCTGCCATGACTTCCAAGAGGGTAATTGTTCCAATAAGGTTGTTGTCATAGTACATCAGAGGTTTTTCAACACTTTCACCAACTGCTTTTAGTCCAGCAAAATGGATAACAGCATCAAATCTACATAAAAAACGGTAGTTGATGCAAACCAATGTGTCAAAAGGTTATAAAATTTGAGCAAAGGAGTCAAATATGCTGATTCAGACATTCAACAACTATTCTTCAAAGCTTAGTTTCATGTGAAATAGTCCATAATTCATGCACCACATGGTCAATAAACCATCATCAGTGTACAATATAACTACATTATATTCAATACTGAGTAAATTAGAAGAAAAAAAAATGTCCCTTGAAAACCATTAAGAAGAATTTTTTTGTTAGAACTTACTTGTTAGACCTGAAAATCTCCTCAACTGCCGGCTTATCACGTAGATCCACCTATAGTATCAGACAAAACAACAGAATTTAGCCACCAACTTAAAGAAAGTAACAAAAAATCAGCTTAATCCATGTAAAAGTACTGTTATACAGGAGAACTATCATTACATGACAAATAGAGCCATTAAAGGCAAATGTATCCATAGAAGAAAATTTAACTGTGGCCAATGGTTATTACCTCCAAATGAAAAATACCAAATTCAATAGACCACTGAGACTAATTTCCATCAAAATTTCTGGAATTTTAACAGTTACTTTACATATGGAAAGAAAAACCAAAAGTGTATACTTCACCAAATATTTATTAAATGGAAAAAGAAGCACATGATAGACCAGCAATAATCATTTCAAGAAAGAAACAAGAACAAAGAGATTGACCACATACCAACAGAATACAGATTTCAAACAATTGGAAAACCCCATAAAAATCCAATCTTTACATTAAAATAAAAGAAGCAAAAACTCAAATTCATACAATTCCACCTTATCCACAAAACCCAGAACAGTTCTCAAAAAGAGAGAGAGAGAGAGGGACCATGAAAAGGAAAAAACAGAAAAAGGGAATATAACAGAAATAACTATTCAACCTATGCTCATGGCATACAATTTAAAAAAGAAAGCAACAGCAACCCAATAAAAATCCAATCTTTGAAACCCAAAACTCAAAATCACACAACAACACACCCCGTGTAGTTCCAAAAAGTGGGGTCGAAGAGGGTAAAGTGTACACCTTACCCCTACCTCGATATAGGGAGGTCATTTCCAATATACCCTCAACTCAAGGAAACACAAAATCATACAATTCCAGAAACAATCATTCTATTCAAAAAAGATATAAGTTTCAGAGATTGACCACCTAACCAACAGTATACTGATTCAAAAAACTGGACAAAACTCCATAAAAATCCAATCTTTTACACTAAAAATGAAAACCCAAAACTCAAATTCATACAATTCCAGAAATAACCATCCATTCCATCCTCAAAATAAATAGTTTCAGAGATTGACCACATAACAACAGTATACAAAAAAAAACTCCATAAAAATCCAATCTTTACACCAAAAAATGAAATCCCAAAACTCAATTTCATACCATTCCAGAAATAACCATCCATTCCATCCTCAAAACAAATAGTAAGTTTCAGAGATTAACCACATAACAACAATATACTGATACAAAAAACCAGACAAAACTCCATAAAAATCCAATCTTTACACTAAAAACAGAAAACCCAAAACTCAAATTCATACAATTCCCCCTTTTCCCATAAACCCCACAACAATTCTCCACCCAAAACAAACAAAAAAAAACCATGTTAAGGAAAAACAGAAAAATGGAATATACCTTATGAAAAGAGAGATTAGAACCATATTCACCAGCAATTTCCTTGACCCTTTTCACAGCAATTTCAGAAGAATTATCCAAATTATCAATCACCACAGCCTTATAACCACCAAGCAACAATTGCAACACTGTGTGACTCCCAATATACCCTGCTCCCCCTGTCACAAGTATACTCTTCGACATATTGTACTATAAAACAATTAAAAAAACTAACCCTGAATTTTATATAACAAGATTTGAGTTTTGGTAAAAAAGAATTCCAAAAATCAAGAAAAAAATCTGATCTTTTTTTTGTTATTGACAAGTTTGAAACAAAGACTCCTAAGTCCAAGCTTTTATAGGTGTATGAAATGGAAAAAAAAAAAAAAAAACACGGTTATGGGCAAAATAATAATAATGAAAATTTGCACCTTTTTGCCTTTTACTTAATTGGGCTGAAAGAATTTTCAAGAATTTTTAAGAGGGAGGCTAAGAAGATGAAGAAGTAAAGGGACACGTGGTAGTGTAGGTCAGATGGTGGCTTTGAGAAATTTCAAGAAAAATATATTTTTATTTCATTAACTCAATAAAAAAATTACCTTAAATAAATATGGCAAATCTTAATAAATTTGATTTTCTACTTGGAACTATTTTTATTCCAATAAAATTTAAAGCAATTGACCATGTGCAAAAATGATAAGTAGTCATTCATTCTTAATCAAAAAATTTAATATTTGAGTACGAAATTGTGTTTGTTAGATAATACTTTACTCCAACAAGAGATTTTTTTAGAGAATTTAAATTTAATGAATATCAAACGGCAAATAAGAATCTCAAAAAATCATTCATTTTTAATCACAAGTTTTGATATTTCGATACGACATCAAATTTGTTACGTAATACTTTACTCCAACTAGAGACATTTTGTGAAAATTTAATTTGACCTAATATGAATATCGAACGACAGATAAGAATCTCAAGAAATCATTTATTTTTAATCAGAAATTTGATATTTGGGTATGAAATCGTGTATGTCAAGTAATACTTTACTCCGACAAGAGACTTTTCGAGAGAATATTAATTTAATAAGATTTAATATGAATATCGAACTCCGAATAAAAATAAAAATATGGGGGATTGTGTCTAGATTAAGGAGGACTCTCTAGATTCTAGTTTAGATTCCTATATGCTCCACAACATCTTTTTCTAATATTGTGAACTCATGATTAACCCCATATTCAAAAATGAATATTCAACTTTTTTTTAGTGTATATTTTATTGTATTTGTGTCAGTTTTCTAATGCAAAAGTTTTAAAAAATAAGGGTAGATAAATAAATAATAATTAATTTAAAATAATCTTATTTCTCTGCATACTAATTTTTGAATATAATAGAAGTTCGAAGGAATATACAAGATTTATGCAATCTACTTCACAACTTAGTTATTATTATTTATTTATTTATTTTCAAAATACGTTATTCTATATTTCTATTAAAATGTAAATTTTTTTTATAAAATCATTAAATAACCGTTAACCCAATAACTCAATAATATTTTTTTCGATTTGGTTTATCGGTCGGTTTGATTTTTGCACACTCCTAGTTCGAAGGAATATACAAGATTTAGATCCCGTTTGGATTGACTTAAAAAACTAGCTTTTAAATCAAAAATAACAAGTCAAACTGAAATTACTTTTAATTCAAAAAATAAAAAGTAGGGAGATATCTACTTTTGGTTTTTGACTTATTTTAAATTATTTTTTATATTTGTCAAACACTTTCAGAAATTAAAAACTGATTTAAAAGTAAGTTTGACAAACTTTTAAGTCAATCCAAACACTCTCTTATGCAATCTACTTCACAACTTAGCTATTAGTATTATTTTATTTATTTATTTTCATACCTGAAGTACGCGTAAATTTATTTTAGAATAAAATATTTCTAATAATTTATATTCGAGATATTTAGATAAAAGTAAAGAAATCATATACAAACCATCATAATTTTTTATACGTTTCTTAAATGATTTTATGTATTGCAAATCTAAATTTAATCAGAACAAAAAAATAGTTAATGACTAAGCTTTTAGCAAAAAAAAAAAAGACAATGCATGCAATTAATCTTAGCTGGTCGAAATTGGTAAATACCAACTGTTTTTTTTTAATGTCCAAGGTTTAGGTAGGTAATTAATTGATTAAAATATTAATTAAATATTTGTCTTTATTGTTATTGGTTTTTTCTGTACCATGTTTTATTTCACCTTGGGAATCGTGAAAATTTATAAATTTTGTTGTATCCTCTTGTCCAGTCCCAGAATCTTAATTTTCTGTTAGCAGTTCTTTTGGATCATATTTTATAGCAAAAAAATAAAAATAAAAGTTGTGGGGAAGTTAAAATAAATAAATTATTCTATGTGTGGATCATATTTTATAGCAAAAAAATAAAAATAAAAGTTGTGGGGAAATAAATAAATTATTCTATGTGTTGATTTTCGAGGGGTATGTTTCCTTCTGTTATTTGCTTCCAAATGTATAATAACAAGATTTAAAATTGTATCCTTCTAGATGGCTCAGTTGTTTTTGAGGATAATTATCGACACGAATGATTCTGAATTAATTTCTTCAATACTTTTTAAGTCGAGTTTGTCACATAGATTTATCTAATGTGATTATATTCTCTGTGTGGTTGTAGCCTTGTAGGCTATTACGCATAACTATACAGTTTACATTTTTTGTGTGTTTGCAGGCTATTATACCATGCAGGACTTACACAATTTGCACAAAATGCTCATCACAGAGTACTTATCGGAAGGACAAAGAATTCGACATAGATTAGAACGACATCAGGTTATCCTAGGTAAAAAAAAAAAGATATGAAATTGTTTTTTTCTATTTGTTTCTATAAATGAGTCATAATTAAGGTCATTTAATGTTTTGGTTTAATTAATGCAAATCCTTATCTAATAAAACGCGTAATTTGTTGAAAATTAATGTTTTTTCCTATTAATTACTATATGTAAATCCTTATCAATAAAACTTAGGAGTATTATCTGCCGAAAGTAGCAAATAATGTATTTTTTTAATTATTCCACCAATAGTTCCCTTTCGTATGGCATTAATTATTTTGACAAATATGACTTTTTTGGTAATTTGAAATTCAAAAAATTAATGAATCACCATATAACCTTACATAAATGATACTTTATCTGTCCCTAATTACTTGTGCACTTTTTCTTTTATAGTTGTCCCTAATTACTTGTCCATTTTGACAAATCAAGAAATGACAATTTTTTTTATCTATTATACCCTCAATTAAATAACTAATTACTTTGAAGAATGCAGAACTTTTCACCCACTTCATAATTAATAGATGTAAAATGGTAAACTGACTATGTCATTATCTTAATAGGTGTGTCAATTCAAAAGTGGACAAGTAATTAGGGACAGAGGGAGTAAGAAATAGAAAAAATGCACGATAAAATTGTCAACTATATATCTAAACTATGCGGAAAGTGTCTTACGCCCTCGTTGAGCTTGTTATTTTCACAAATAGAATCTAGAAACAATAGTGGGTAACACTCCATCGTACTCCTATCTTAAGAAGATAAAAAATATATATATAATAGTTTCTCGAAAATTTTCTTATTTTCTAGTAGTTTTCTTTTACTTTCCATTTTAGGTTTGGCAGGGTGTACACAATGTGGTCCAATTTGTTGAACAATTTGAGGGTACCACATATCTTTTACATGAATAACAAACAAAGATAATGTTAAAAGGGACTTTATCTTTTTGCTACATCTTCAAACATGACAATCCCACATTAGCTTTATACAAATTATAGAAAAAGAATTATTTATTTTTGGTTTTCACATGTTCGATACTTATACTGAATCTTCAATTAATTTGAATTCGTGTTGCATAAGACTCATTTAAGAAGAATATGCATGGTGCCTAATTTTATTTATTTATGTATATTCAGAATTCAAATTCAAAATCTTTAATTAAGGATAGAGGAATCATATTACCCGAGTCAACTAATTGCAAAACAGCAAAAAGGTTGTGTTGTTGTACTCTACACTAAAAGGGGCAAATTAAAGGGTTCCCCCCCTAAATTAAAGGAATGCTTGTTTAAGCCCTAAGTTTTTGAACTTTGATTAAATCTCAATTTTTAATTTTCTAATTACATAATGAATAAACCATCTTTCTTCCATTTTAAAGACATGTTCTATTTATTAGCCATATCCTTCAATTTTACTCTCAATATTATATGCATAAAATTATAAATTACAAACTTCAAAGATCTTAACTTTGTAATTAGTCAAATTTCACTATATAAATTGAAAAGGAAATGGTAATTAATTAACTATTCTTAAAGTGGAGATTTTAGTTGACCAACTAAGATGACCACCTTTACTACATTTCCAAGTGTCAACTTATAAGTGATCATATACATGACTTCAATTAGTCTTCCTAATTAGCAAAGACTTTAATTTTATGCTCCGTCCACTTGTATTTGTCATATTGCATTTTTCGAAAGTCAATTTGACTAATTTTTAAAGCTAAGTTAGATTATATTAATTCGATATTTTAAACAAAAAATTTAGATATTCAAAAACTATACGAAAAGTACTATAAATTCATTTTTTTTGTATATAATACATCGTAAAATGTCAGTCAAATTTCTTATCGTTTGACTCTAGAAAAAGAAACCATAACAATTAAAAGTGAACGGAAAGAGTATATTTTTAGCCCTTTCACTCTTATTTTTTAAAGAACTTCTTCATTATTGTATTTTTTCAAACATATTTTGAATTGTTTTACTTGGGTAGACAGCCTTTCAGAAACTATCTCTTTCCTTCTATAAGATAGATATAAAATTTGCATATACGCCACTCTCTTTTGACTCTTATTTATAAGATTACGTTGGATATATTATTATCTACCGTGTTATATTATACTCCTTTCGTTTAAAAAAAAATGACCTTCTTTCCTTTTTAGTTTGTTTAAAAAAGAATGACCTCTTTCCTTTTTTGGTAACATTTTACTTTCAACTTTCCACGTGACATGTTTAAGACAACAAGATTAAAGGGCAATTTTGTATATTTGATATAACTTTAATTTAGGGCCACAAGATTCAAAAGTCTTCTTTATTTTCTTAAATTATGTGTCAAGTCAAACTAAGTCACTCTTTGTGAAACGGAGGGAGTAGCAGTATTCTTAAAAGAATTTTTTACACTTTTGGTAGTTGTCAACTGTCATATGGTTGCCACCTTTGCATTAATTATGGGGTAACGTGTT